TTACGCGCGCCTGCTGGGCTTGCCCCAACTGCGCTGTACCAATCAGCAGAACCCAAGGCGCGGTGCGCTGCATGTGTACAATCGCGAATTCTCGATCGGTTCGATTCACATCTTGAATTGCAGCGGAGGTCTTATCGGAGGCACGGGTCGAGCAGCAGCAGCTTCGCCCAGAGACTGATCGGGCCTACACGTACCTACGGGTGACCGCGACGATTTGCGGAGTTGTACAACGCAGCAGCGGGCACCGCACTCTGCTGACTGACGATCACGATTGGGTAGCCCATGGCTGCTACAACAGTCAAAGTATGCCGAATCAATCACGTGAATCGACTCTGACTCATCCGAAGTCCGTGCTCCATGCAGCAGGGAAGTCTGCATGCCCGCCTGAACCGACGCTACTGTATCATCACTCGACGGCGGTTCCCTTTGGCCCCTCAGAAGCTCCCGAACCGCCGCCTAGACCGGAGCACAACTCAACAAGTCTTGGCAACGTTGCAGACCCGGAATGCGAAGCCATCGCCATGCACTCACGACTGCTGGCCCAGAAGAGGTGCTGGACGTACAGGCGGGTCTTGGTCTTGTCATGCGCCTAGACGCGGCTAACGCAGCGCCAAGAAATGACTGCATCTTTCAACTACTACTACAGCATCGTCTTGGTGCCTGGTAGTGTGGCGTCCACGACGCTCCTGATCTGTTCGACGAGCGTGGTCTTGAGCAAAGATATGAGGGCAAAGATACGGCGCGTAGCCGTCAGACATGCCGGGTCAGGCGAGTTGCGAAGCGTTTCTGGCGAAATGTGGGCAGCGACATCGATTCACAAAGGATGCGGATCTGTCTGGGACGCAGTAAAGTACAGAAAAGTTTGAGACACCGAATGGCCTCCACATCAAAACGCTCGGGGAAGGAACAATCCCTAAGCGCAAGGCGTACATGTCTAGAGATGGTCATACCATCTTTATTCCTCTTCATCGCTGAGCTCCGAAGAATCGCCATCACTCTCCGTTCTCCTCGAGACGCCGGCAGCTTTCTTGGCCCGTTTGGCTTCGTTCCTCGCGCGCACAGCTTGCTCTTTCTTGCGCTTCGAGCGGGCGCCCCTGCCTCCCCCTTCAGCTCCATCTGCGGCTTCTGCCTCTTCCGCAGAACTCAAGTCGTCGTCAGAATTGTTCTCGATATCTGACGCACCCGACGTGGTCGCCCCACCGTCCTCATCACCATCATCCTTCCGGGCGCGCTTCTTTTTGGGCTTCGTGACATCACGTTGCGTGGCCGGCTTCCGAATCTTGGGTGCCTTGGGCACACGAGGCTTCTGCTTAGGGAAGCACGCAAGGGGTCTGGTCAGCCCTGTCGTTGTAATGCTAGGCTTCGCTTGATCAGTTGCTCACCTTGGATCCTGACGATGCATACTTCTCAGTGAGGGCGGAGACCATCGTGTCTGGCAGAAAGACGCGTTCGTACACCTAGAGTGGTGCTGCCAAGCGTGAGCAAGGAGTGCAGGGAGCACGTCATGATGTTGACTCACCTCCTTTTGGACCTCACGACTTGGAAGAGGTCTAAAGATGTCCGATGGCAAGTTGACTCTTCCCGGGTAGCTGGAAATTGTCCAATTCTCTCGGTTGGCTCGCAGCTTGATGTAAAGCTGAGCAAGCTCACTGAGACAGTACAGGTTGTCCGAGTGCCCAGGACTCTCGGTGTCGCGGATACCCTTGAGACGAGTAGACAAGTAGTAGAGCAAGCTGACATTTTGCGAAGTGCCGAGGCTATCCAGCCAAAAGTCGATGTATTTTCCAAGGTCCACAACTTCGTCTAAACGCTCTCGAGAGAAGTCCGGATGGTGGGCGAGAAGGTGCAGAAATCGCACAAAAGAGACATCAAAGTGCTTCACACGCAATTCGGGCGGCATGGGCTGGTACATGCTCTGAGCGTAATTGACCACCATGTCCTGATTCTCCTTTTCTGGGTCGAAAGCCACCAAGAAGGGTATGGCGTTGAATCGAGGAGAAAGTCGTCTGAAGCGCAGATATTTCAGCAGCTTGTGCAGGAAAGTTTGGCGCACCTGGAAGCATGGGTCCTGGATGACAAGCGCAAGCTCGGTGAATTCGCGCTTGATGAAGGCTTCCAGAGCTTCCACGCGTGCCATCTTCAGCACGCAGAGTGATGCTTGCAAGCGCATCCGACTCTTGGCAGCAGGGGGAGCGCCCAATTTACGGGGCTCGCCCTCCATGAGCGTGGCGAAGAGAAGTCTGAACACCGGCATGGCCACGTCCGTGACGCCTTCTGCGTTCGCAAAAGCGACGCAGCGCTTCATCAGAAGATCGAGGCCAAGCAACTTAGCTCGCAAGTCTGCTGTCATCTCCTCGTCCTCGACCCATGCTTCGAGCTGATCCTCGCCCTTGACATCCTCCACGTTGTCCTTGCCCCACGGCTTCATCAAAATGCCGGTGAGCACGGTTTTGACGATAGCGTCGCCCACATCCGCAGCAGTCTCGCTGGCGTACTTGACGATCTGACCCAGTGCGGCAAGATCTGCGACCAGACGCTCTCCAACACTTTTCCCAAGGCGCCGGGTGAGCTCTTCAGCCAACTGCTCCAAGCTTGCATGGGCAATCGACCTGGTCCTGTTGTCGACGACTGAGGTTGTCGACTTGTCAACCTTGGACTTTGAAGGACTGGCTCCTAGCACAGCCAGGAGACGCGCAGCGTACTTTGATTGCAGCACAGTGCCACTGCGGACCAAATGAAGAACACGTTCAACGACTTTCCGGTCTGCCACCACAGTTGCTGGCTCTACATTCGCGAGGGCTCCAAGGGCGCGAAGGCTTTCTGTCAACAGCGCGTCGCAGCCTTGCACGTTGAGGGCTTTGAGAAGCAGAGGGACATGCGCCGAGTAAAGCTGCGGGCAAGCCTTGGAGATCTCGCGAAGCAAAAATTGGCAGTCGCGGCGGCAAGCTTGCGCCTCTGTCTGGCGCGCATCCATCGCCTCGGTGGTGCGCATTGTCTCGTCTGCGTCATGGACTGCAGCCACCTGGCTCTCGGTGTTGGAATAGCCACTGTGTTCCAAACGCTTTAACAACGTCGGTACTGTGCTTTTGTTGACCAAGAAGAGGCACGACATTCGCAAGAGCTGATCCATCGTTCCCGTCACACCGGGCTGTGTGTCTTTCAGCCGTGAGGTGAGCTCGCTGCGGACCTTGACAAGGGTTTTGAGATCGCTTTGAGCGTCCAAAAGACTGCGGAGAAGCCTGTAGGTCCGGTTATCATTAGCTTTGGCGAAGGCATGAAGGTCAGAAGTGGCGTGAGGTGGGTCGGCCATGAGTGATGAAATCTTCTTGATACTGGTTGCCATGCGCAGCTTGATGGCCGCTTCGTCGTTGTCAATGATGCCGGCATTGTAGTCCTCACATGCCTTCACGAATTGTACGAATGGTTCGCGTACCTTTCTGAGGTTGGAGTGGCGAATGAGCGCTTTGCGAGCGCGGTCATCCTCCAAGTGGGACATGACCAGTAGCAATCTGCTGGTCCACCTTTCTGCATCCTCAGCATCACCAACGGACGCCGGCAACCTAAGAATGTGACGGTCCAGCGTCCCTGCCACCAGACTATCAATCTCTCGACCACCCACGAAGCTAGCTTTCAGCACGCAGCTTGGTATCCAGCCGAATTGCTTGATCGCGCTCGGGTCCCTGGATTCTAGCTCTCCGCGCGCAAGTCGAAAGATGCGGCCCAAAGCGTCGAATGCATGCTGTCGGACGCTCGCTTTCTTGTCTCGACAGCGATTCCCGATTTCCTGCCAAATCTCGCAATCGACGTGGTGCAACGCAGTTTCGTAGTCGGTGCTCCCCAACACCTTGACCATGGACGCTCGAACACGCTCATCAGGATCAGCGAGCTTGTTCTGCGCAGCAACGCGCAGATCAACACGGAGCTCCGGATGATTGGCGAACAGCGGCCCAGCCGCCTCTGTCCAAGCAATGCGCAGCGTCGGGTGCTTGTCGTTTGCGCGGGCAAGCCATTCTCTCCAGGTTGATGCGTATTTGCGGGCTAGGTCTCCGCCGCCGCCTGTCTTCGCAGTCGTCTCGGCAAACATTTGACCAAGCGTCTTGATTGCAATGCTGCGCGCTGTCGTATCGTCGGTCCGCAACTCTTGTTCGAGTGCAGGGATGACGTTCAAGAGAAGGGCCGGGACCGCACGGTTGATCTGCGCGACTAGGAGATGCGCGTTTCTGAGAGATTTCTCCTTGTCCTGCACATCATCTTCCTCTGAAACTGAAACCAGAATCTCGCTGAAGTACTGTGGCATTGGCAACCCAGAGCGATCGTATGAGCGACCTGCTCTACAGGTTCAAAATCCGGCACGTCCTACATACCTGAGCCACGTGCTTCTGGAGTCGATCCTTGGTGGCGTCGCAAATCTCGACCGCCAGCTGGTGAGCGGCAGGGTTTGCTTTCTGTGGCGGGAAGGAGGAGAAGGGAGAAAGTCAGCCAAGTCGAGCCCTCAAAGCCCCGTTCGGACGTACCTCAGCCTTCGAGTGGAACGACGCAATGAGGATCTCCAGCACCTCCTGCGGCACATTGAGACATTCGTCGATTAGCTGGACGAGAATGTCCGCCATACAAATCTCGACGTTCTTCGTCGTCTCTGGCCTGTGATTTGAGTCAAGGTCAGACATATGGTCACCGCACAAGCGGTAGCGTGGAGTTGCCCACCTACCTGATCAACTCGAAGAACCCTCGGAAGAGGTCAGTCATCATCTCGTCCGCTCCATGAAGATCAGCAACGAGCGTGATGCTTTTGACGTTGCTTAAGCTCTCCAGTAAGTAGAATGTATCCGGGTACAGCGGACTGCTTGGATTGCTGAGGCCGCCTTTGGGAGATGTGAGTCGATCTATAAAGAATGCGAAGATGTCCTGAAGTGGAGGAGGGGCGAGAGCCGGGCCGGGTCAGATTGGGGTCATGCGAACCACTTCTCGAACCTCTCGCCTAATCGAAGGTGCAGTCTATCTACTCACGCGCAATTCTGCGCCTGTGTACGGTGCTTGTGGTGCGTACAAGCGGAGCAAGTCTGCAAGACAGCAAGCGACCGAGCCTTTGACGGCATCGACTTTGTGGTGCACGAGTGGATTGGCGATGAGCTGCTTGCAGAGGGGATTGAGCGAGCTCAGATCAACCTGCTCCTGCTCCATCTCTGACAGTTCTTTTTGAAGAGCCTATGGTGAGAGCGAAAGGTCAATTGAGTATTGAAGCCATCATTGCTGCGTAAGACGTACTGACCTTGAGACGCTTGAGCAGAGCATCTGCAGACGTGCCCTTCTGGTAGATCTGGCCAGTGTTTTGAAGTCGCGCGAGAGCGCGAGTTGATTGAGGCCGCACCATCGCGCCATAGACGTGCAAATTGCACCGGCGTGTAGTGGGCGGGTCGGTGATGTATGGGGTGAAGTCGCAAGCTGGGAGATTGACAAATAGACGACTTCGATGTGGTCCTGCAGGGAAGACGTTGCGATTCGATGAGCACTCACGACCTCGTCGCGCGCTGTGTTGGTGTGCGCCCCGCCCCGCATGGCGCATGGCGCACGTCGCGCACGCGCGGTGGACTGGACGCGTCGCGTTGTCGCGCGCCCACTAAATTGCTTCACGCAAGCTTTCGGCGGTGCCGCGCACCATTCAAATTGTGAATATTCATGATTGTATGCGCACACAACCCGCTTAAACCTTCAGGCGAGCGGTGAGGTAAGGCGCAACTCGACCTGTCCGTTCCATCTCCCTCACCAGATTTCTATGGCTTGGCCGGACGCGGTCAAGAGTTTTGCAGATTCAGAAGAGAAGCATCCACATGCACCTCATGGAGTCGCTACAGCCACGAATCAGATTCGTGATTCTTGCTTCGTTATTATGGATTCACGATTCAATTCTTGTTTGGAGGCAAAAGCGTGGACTCACGAGCGGCGGAACATCACGTGGTAGCTCTTCGCTTTGGGGTGTAAATGCAGAAGAAACGAAGCTTCTGGTCCTCGCGGGCAAAGCCATATGTTGCTCCTCTGTACCCATAGAGGACAGCCAATCATCCGGCTCTGCATTCACGATCCCACATTCAAGATTGTTCTGTGGAGCAGGCGTATCCAGACTGACGGAGAGCGCGTGTTTCGCCATCTGCGTGCTTGCGGAAAGCGACATTTCGTTCGGGGGTTGGCCTCAGTGTCAGATTAGGCAAGCAATCGAGGTGACTGCTCGGCTCGGCTCGGCTCGGCTCTGATCTGTATGTAGCTTTCTTCGAAGCCACAACCGCCTTGGGTCTCATGGCTTGCACGGCTCGACAAGACTGATTGAAGCTCAGTCAGTCCTTCCTAGTTGACCGTCAGCAATTGCAGAACAAGGCACATGTTGAATGAATCAAGTCACGAGATCTCAGCCACGATTAAAGCTATGCAGCACCGCGCCCTTGTCCACGATGCAAATCTTGAATTGCTGTTGATGGATGCATCGTGAGCGAGACCAGAATAATGGCTGACGATGGCGTCGTGGCAAAGACGGGGAGTGTCATGTCCGGCTCAGCTGAGCCTCGCAACTTGTAATGTTGGACGGCTTTTGGCGCCTCGTGCAAGATGGGCTCAGAAAGTGGCTCTGATGAATTGCCTAGAGATTTGTGAGAGGTGTGTGTGGGAGAATGAGGCGGCAGGTACACCTTTGAGCAGACACGACTGCGAAATTGAGAAGACAAGCGAGAGTGTGGATATCCCACATGCCGAGACTCTTTTGAGTGCGGGGGGGCATGTACGTGCACCAGCAGTCGTGGGTATGGGCGAGTACATGCGATGAGCCGTGCAGCGTATGTCTGACGTTCGCTTGAACAGCAAGCAGCCAAGTCAACGTCTATCAACCCAATACCGTAGCGAATTACGAGCCGATTGAACAAGCGCGTGGAAAGCTAGAGCTCGCTCGACGTCAGACTCGTGACTCAAAACTGTCCATCTCAATGCGTCTCTCAAGAGTCACGAGTAGGTATGTATGCCTACGTGTCACGCCAAGCGCCGAGAATCAAGAATGTCATCGAGTCCGTTTACAAAAGCGAGCTAATTTTAGCACACACCGCGCGTGGCACACGGGCGCGAGTGCGCGGCCGGCCGGCCTGCGGGGCTGCTGTTACGTGCGCCTAAATAGCTCTGTGACTGTGCGGGCGTCACTTGGCGCGTAGCCCGGCTCCGCGATCCAGATTGATCGAGTGAACATCGATCGACCTCGACCCGCCAGATTCGCTGGTTGCGGCTGCGACATCGCCTCGCTGTTGTCACATCTCACGCCAACTCGTGACTCGTGACTGCGTTGTGGACCAAAAGTGGTTGAGTGTGAAGGTGCAGCCGCAAATTTTGAATCACAATCGCTGCATGGGATGAGCAGATGAGGCGCTGATCGCTATATGAGCTTGGTCTCGCCTTCCACCACCTTGTCTCTCATCATCGAAGCTATACGTGAGGAACAGCATTTGGCAAAATTGCCGGAGAGACCGAGGCTAACGCACCGTGTACATACATACAG